TCGAGCACTGGGACAGACACACACCACATCGAGCACTGGGACAGACACACACCACATCGAGCACTGGGACAGACTCGGATCAGAACTTTTATGCTTGCTGAGAACATATTAGTTATTATGACTACCTCATAACTCTACATTGGAAGTATAGGATACTGTACTAAGCATGAACACAACTGTGGTTATACAGCAGCCCGAAACAAGTGTATTCAGTGAATCATATCGAACAGAATTCCTAAGAAAATCTCTTTTATAGGTAGGCAGTGCCTGCAGGCTATTCCATTTAACACCGCACCTGTGGAATGTCCTAATAATATCAGAAAAGCTGTTGATATTATCAGATCACTTAATAACAAAACATTTATCCTAAATGAACTGATCTCAGACTATAAGATTGATTTGGTATGCTTGACTGAAACTTGGCTCTCTCTGTCTGGGACAGCTGCTCTCAGCGAGTCAACGCCTCCGAACTGCAGATACTTTCATGTTAGCAGTCAGGGCAGGAATGTTGGCGGTTCCCTGAAAACATACACTGCAGTAAGATAGACTTGGGTGTTTCCACATCATTTGAATACTTTAAATGTGAAACCTGCTCTGTGTGCTGTAACTGTTTACCACTCACCTAAGCCTAATGCGAGATGTGTGGCTGAATTGTCTGACATTTTATCACTAGTCTTTCCACATTTCGATTGTTTTATTATTACTGGTGATTTTAACTTTCATATGGATGACAACACAAAATCTGCTGCCACTGATTTTACACAAATTTTAACTTGTTTCAATCTGGAACAACCTGTACATGAGCCTAGACACGCGTCTGGGCCGACAATAGATCTCATTACATCACATGGGCTTAAAGTAACTGCACAATCAGATAAATATGTTACTGTACCCGATCACTACATGGTGTTCTTCACACTGAACATCGCCTCAGATTTCAGACCATAGAAAAGGGAGATAAGGAGGCATAGAAATGATTCAACCGCTGTAAAGGGGTTTTCAGAACTCAGCGGAGGAGGCTGTGAAGTTGGTTGGTTCTTTTGTAAATGAGCTTATATGCGGTTATTAACTCTACAGCGAGAAATGCGCTAGAGGCTGTGGCTCCTGAAAAGGTTAAAATATCGTGGTCAGTTACTATGCACCATGGAAAACTACAGATACTAATCAGCTAAAACAAAATAGCAGAAAAGCAGAACGTGAATGGAGGAAGATTAGATTAGAAATGCATCAAAGTATTTATAGAGTGCGTGTCGATTTACCAGCATGCCACACGTAAAGCACCACTGACATACTTTTCAAAAACAACTGCTGACACCAAAAACAATCCTCTAGTACTATTTTCAACTATTAATAGATTCCTTGACCCTTTGCAACCGATGGCAGAAGAGGCATCAGCTGAGAAACGTGAGCAATTCGCACTAAAGTAACCAATATTAGAGCCTGTGCAGTATCAACTTAAGGTCCATGTCGCTCTGATAGCGCAGCTGCTGTCTTGATGGATTCTTTTAACGAGATCGACATGCAGTGCTTGGAAAGGGCAGTCGCACATCTGATGTTGGACTGACCCAGTTCCTACTTTATTAAGTAAACCTTCATGTTATTTTCTGAATTGATTTCACACACTGTAAATATATCACTTTTAACAATCACTTTTCCAGATTCTTTAAAACCTGCTTTATATCATAAAGTTCTTATTAGTTTTTGTGCCGCATTATAAAGGTATCTATACTGCATTATAAAGGTATCTATACTGCATTATAAAGGTATCTATACTGCATTATAGGTGAGAGCTTCATAAAGCAGTCATAATGCACAATAAACATGGCTATGATGTGTTACGTCCTTTTATAAATATTTATAACCATGTTTATAATGCTTTATGAATGCCTTATGTGAATGTGTTCACAGATTCTTAAAGACATGGCATTCACAGAAAGTGTTACCATAATAACCACTAGAGGCCCCCGTGATACCAGGCGTTTTGCTCTGGGGGCATCTCTTCAGTAAAACCCACACATGGGTGACAGCATCACTCAGAGAGAGTCAGGCAGGACAGCTAGGGCCGAATTTACAGGGGTGGGGTCCCTTGGGCTAAAGTCATTGTTGGGGTCGGTCCTACAGCATAAAATACTACTGTAACAACCAAAAAAATAAATCTGGACCTCGCCCACAATTCGGGGCCCTGGGCCACATCCCAGATTGATCTATGCATATTCCAGCCTTGAGTATAACATATTCACAGCTCCCGCTGTCGCCCCCCCCCCGCTACGGCCTCTCTCACTGCACAGTCATGGTGATGAGCACAACCGAGCCAGAGTGCCCCCGGCCCAGAAAACATCAGACGGGGAGGACCTGTCAGGGGCTCGGCCTGCTGGGAGATTTTAAAGGGACAGACTCCTAAAAACATGAGCAGCTGTTGTACCCCATAGATGGGTTTATGTGTTAGTACAGAACACAAACCCTTCAAATAGGTATGGCTGCTGTGGACGGAGTCTGCATTTAAACAGTAGGGGGCGCCACATCGCTTTCCACCTTTGCGGCGACTGACATTCGGCAGGAGCTCCAGGAACGCCCTCAGCAGGTCACCCCTCACCTCGGAGGAGCTGCTTGATGTCCCTGCCGGCGTGCGATGTGGTGAACTGGTTGACGATGTCCAGGGCCGTTTGGTTATAAGCGTTACGGATGTTGACGTCCACCCCCGCCTGTCCGGGCGACAGAGACCTGGCACTTCATTATATCGTGAAACTTCAACTGTGGGTATTTTTGGAGCACAATAAGTGCATTTATATAGAACAGACGTCATGGAAGCAGAGGTCTGACTCACGTCCAGCAGCAGGCGCACTACCTCCGTCTTCCCATAGAGGGCAGCCTCGTGCAGCGCTGTGCCACATTCTGTGGTTCTGTTGATGTCGATGCCCGCCTTCAACAGTAACCTGTGTGCAGCAGGGAGTCTTTGTTAGGCGTTATGGATTTGATATGGATTCAAAAACGAATCACTGTTCCCCACGAATATAATCTCAGCACAGGAACAAAAGAAAATGAAATCAACTGTCATGCCTTCCAGCATGTCCTCCTACCTCATGTGTTTCCTACAAGCTCAAAATGACTTAGAAAATGTATAAATATATATTTTTGCAATATCAAACCGTACTCTCACCTCACTGTGATACACAGACACGCACACCTAAGAATTAACATGGAGTTTCATACAGAAGAGAAGATGCTGGCATTTCCCAGATTAACCCGTGCTGTGATCAGCTGTGGCAAGGAAGCATTTCAGCAATCCTCACAGCGCCTGTTACCGGCCTGGGGGGGGGGGGTGCCCATTTCAATTATACCACCACTCATTCCCCCCTCTGTTAGCAGCAGTTCCTGTCCAATTCTGAAAGCACCCCCCCACACACACACATACCAGTAATCTCCAGGAAATTTCCCTGCGAACATGGTACAGCCAGTTTGGCCGGTCCCACTGCCTGTTAGGGAGGATCACTGAGAAGGGCACGCCCAGCCCCGGACACATCTGTGTGCAGATTCCTCGCTCTTCTCTTAACTTCTCGTGAAAGTGCCTGTAGTCGAGTGACATCTCCTAGGTGACGACCCACACAGGGATAAAGACCAATCTGATGACCCACTATGACCCATAGGATTGCCCAAAAAAGGCCACTGGGTGACTCTCTGTTCCCTGCTTGAAGCCCATTAAAAGCTGAGTGTGACGGTTACCTTCCCTTCTGTACGCAAAAAGAGCTCAGGATTCTGGCCGCTGACATCACAAATTTCTGGTGCCATGTGCAGACGCCCACAGACATCTACAGTCCCCTTAGACCCCGATGGATGCCTGCAGATGCCCCTCAGACACCCGCAGACCTCAATAGACCCCCACAGACACCCACAGACACCCACAGAGTGCCCACAAACCCTCACAGTCACCTGCAGACACCAACAGACCCCTGCAGATACCTGCACACCCCTGTAAATGCCAGCAGGCCCTCACAGATACTCACAGACCCTCTCAGACCCCCGCAGATGCTTACAGTGCAGACACCCCCACAGATGCCCACACACCCTCACAGATGCCAACACACCTTCACAGATGCCCACACACCCTCACAGATGCCCACACACCCTCACAGATGCCCACACACCCTCACAGATGCCCACACACCCTCACAGATGCCAACACACCCTCACAGATGCCCACACACCCTCACAGATGCCCACAAATGCCCGAGAAGCCCTCCATACTCTCATGTGAACTCACCCGATGACATCTTTGTGGCCATTGCGAGCGGCCAGGTGCAGGGGGGTGTTGGAGCCGCGGCCCGAGTCCCCGCCCCCCTCCAGGAGCGCCCCCACCATACTGCTACTGAGCAGCAGCTGGGCCGCCTGGAATGGCGAGTCACAGAGAGGGAGGGAGGCTCAGCTCTCTGCACCACTTTGCTTGGTAATTTGCATCCCAAACAAGTTAACACACACTGTGTAAATTTCAGCACGCAGCCCCGCTGCCCCCACATCCAGGGTTAGAGGTTCGAATCCCACCCCACTTAGGTAAGAGAGACACTGTGATGGACTGGCCAAGGTGATTCCCTGCATCCTACCCTGGACTCCAGGCTACCGTGACCCATTTTCTCAGTCCCCTCAATTTTCTAACAATCCCAGACTGCAGTCAAAAAACTAAAAATGCCAAAAGTCTTGTATTTTCTTTGCTTACTTAAGGTTAAGGTTACGGCTGGGAGGGGGTTAATGTTGCCATTGTTGGGATTAGAGTTATGCCCATAGAAATGAATGGACAGTCCCCACAAAGATATGAGTACAGGTCTGTGTGCATGCGTGCGTACGTGTGTGTGTGTGTTTGTGTGTGTGTGTGTGTTTGTGTGTGTGTGTGTGTT